TTCATCATGACCCAAATCCTCATATTTTCCAGACTATTTGTGTGATCGCTTCACACTAATGTAAGCCCTAATTAATAAAACTGACAGGATGGAAAAATTAAATATTTCTCCTCCAAATTATGTTGCACTATGCAAACAACCTAGAATTCCTATGGCTTTGTTGTTTTAAAGCTAAGGAAGTACATGTTGTTGTAGACGAATTCTACAATATGTGCTCCAAATTTGAGCCATTCCCATTTTCACTCCTCTTTGTCCAATCTCTTTGAAAATTTCTACTCTTTGAACTTCTTAAAGACAATATCCCTTGATTTTTAACGAGAGTTTTCGTAGGTGACTTCGGTTATCTAAGATGTCCTTAACTATAAGGGCATGCCTTTATAGGAAAATTTTCTAAACCCAGCTTAATATAGACCCTATTTCATTTTTTGTATTAAATAGGGGAACTTATCGGCTTATAATAAAATGGTTTTGCAAACCAAATGGGTGTAATATATTTCTTAGTTTATTTGATCAAGTCTGACCCTCAAGTCTTGTGCTTATCTTTCAGGATAGATACATAGCCTGAGGTGTAGTGCTCTTTCATCTAAAATTTAAAAGATATGGGCTTAGCTTTATTTCATATTTTTCTAAAATTATATATATATATAAATTAAATTTCCCTCCGAAGCGGGCGACGAAATTCTGATTTCGACGATCGACAGCTTCCAATGGGCAACTCCTCAACTTTTTAAGTGCCGAAGGGGCTTCAAATAAGTGAATTATTATCTTGCTAACATAAGCTCACCACTTTAGAATCACCTGGTTAGATTAACTTTCAAGTCATGACAATTTATGAAATTTCAATTTTACCTTTATCATGAAAAGGTGGCAAATTGGTTTCTACTTTTTAAACCCATCATGTTTCAAACATCAAAAATAGTTCATTAGGATTAAAATTACCCATTTACCCTTTAGTTAATCCTAAATTTTAATTAAGGCACCAAAATCTAAAATTACCATTTTGCCCATAGGGCTCTCCACTACATGACTTATCAAATATAACTCAAATGACTTTGAAAATTTTAGAGTACCCCATTCATGGGTCAATTAATATATTAGAGGAAAAAATATATTTTTCAAAATTTAATTTAATTTAAATAATTATTTTTTACTTAGAAAATCTAATTTTCAATATTAATTAATTTAGCTAATGAAAGTTGAATTTTTGTTCATGGGAAACTTATTAGAGGTTCACCTAGGTTAGAGGACCACTTGGACAAAATTTTGTGATTTTTCAAATAACATTTTATATATTATAATTATTTATTTATTTTTGTGGTTTAATTAAATAGAAAATATGTTTTAATTACAAAAATTACTTTTTGTATTTTTATTAAATTTCTATGAGTCCAAATAAATTAGAGAAATAAACTTTTCTTTTTTGTGAATTTTAATTTATTTATTATAATTATTTTAATAGAAAATTAGAAAACATACATTTTTTAGTCTTTAAAAATTTATATTTAACTTAGAAAAATTAGAGAAAAAAATTTAATGAGTCCCAAGTGGTCAGAAAGTAATTAGGAATATGTTTAACCATTTTCATATTTTAGAATTTTTTAATCATTTTTAATTATTTTTTTTATTCAAAATATAACTCAAAAAATTTAAAATAAAATATTTTTACAAAAATAAATTTTATTTTTATTGAATGCCCTTGATCACAAAAAACTCAGAAAACTATTTTTCATAGTTTTTTGTAATTATATTTAATTTATTGAAATTATTTTATTGTCAAAATATGATTTTTACTTAGAAAATTAACTTTAGTGAAAAAGCTAAATAAAATAAATATCAAATTTTTACAGTGAGTTAGAATGAGTGTCATTTACAATGTGGAATCCTTTTGGTTAGTTTTTGAAATATTTTAAATTTATTTTAATTTTTATGAATTTTTTAAGTTAAGTTAACTATAGTCAATTACATAAATATTCAAATTTAATTTACATTTTTCCAGAAGTCCTCTGCCTATAGAGAACCTACCAAACTAAGTCCCATAATTTTTGGATTGATAAGTTAATTTATATAATTATTTTAAGAAAAATAGCCATCTAAAGTTGGAAATTAGGGTTACATGTGTAAAGATGCTTTATGACTTTGGAAAAAACACAAAACCTCTCTATTGTCATGAAGAACAAACCCCTAAAGTTTCAAGCCATGGTAATTATTATTAGCTAATTAAAATTAAAAGATTTGAGAGAGTATTTAATTAATTAAAAATTTGAGACTCATCAAATAATCTGTATTTTTATTCCACGTTATTTTCCTCTATTCCATGAGCAATAAAGTATTTTTTTTTTATTTTTATGATTTTTTAACACTAAGTTATGGATTTTCTAAGGTTTGGAATTAGTTTAGATAAAAAATCCCTAATTTCCTACTTATCCAAGTTTAATACCGCGTCAACCTCGTATGCTCCGAGCTTTCCATGCATTGTCGTGCTATTGGATGCCGCCGCATGTTTGCACTTTATCGTTCCATCGTTCCATCCGACACGATCTAAACCATCCAACCAATACACGTAGAAACAAATGACATCCTATTATCGTCCCTGATCAACATAACCCGAGAACCGTTCAACTTCAAACACTAAGATCTCTGATGAGAGTCAACCAAATCACTTCGGGTTTGTTCCTACATCTTCACCTAGTTAAGACAAACACATCTATATGGCTACATGCTTATGAAATCAAACTTTTCTTCACAAAGGTCCAAACCAAGAAAAAAATTAGGGTTCAAGCTTTATACCTGAGTCTGAGAGAGGATGCCTCAATCATATGCTTGTGGAAGCTTCAGTAGAATCCATCAAACCTCCTCGAAGTGTCACTTTGCTCTACTATATGTTCTAGGTAGGAGTTCAACCAACAAGTGGTGTTGTCGTGGTCTATAAGTGGGTTAGGGGGCTCAATAGATAGGGGTTTTCATGGGTAACCTCCTCATTTGGTCTGAGGAAGCTTTTGAACGGTTTAGTTTGAAGGTTTGTGGAGTTTGGTAAAAGGATAAAAAATTGCCGTGGATTTTAATTGAGAAATTGGGCTTTGACAGTGACAATGGAGGGCTAATGGCTGTGGGATTAGACTTACGAAAGCTTGAAGAGCTTCTGGAAGGATTTTTTCAGAGTCTCTCAAAGGATTTGGATGGTCTCCTCCTTTGGCCGTTGGAGGTGGCGTTTAAAAAGACAAGGCTATGATGGCCACCAGGGCTGGACAGGGGGTGGAATCAGTTTCTTAGGTGGAGGGCTGAGTGGCATCAATGACCAATGAGCCAACCCAGGGAGTTCAAATTTGGAGTTTTGGCCATGGGGACCTCTCTATTTTGGTTTTTTCCGGCCACTAGGTCGGTAGCCCAGGCTAGGGGTTGTGGTCAGGTGGGCCATTGGGAGGCTTAATGATGATTATCCCTAAAGGTTTAATGCTTGATGGTAAATATATTTGGGTTTAGCCAAATGTGGGAACAGATCCCCTATAACAAGGGACCCTTAAACCATGGCGCATATAAGGTGAGCTAGGTGGGTCTTTCATAGTCCCTAGGGTCCAAATGTTGGTTGTAGTGACCATGGCTTGGTCAATTTGGATTGATTTGGTCAAGTGTATGACTTGGTTTCAAAACCATGTCATGAGCTTGGATTTGAGTTTGTCTTTGGCTAGACTTTGAATTTGGCTCAATTAATTGATCAATTTGGCTTGAATAACTGTCATGAGGAGTTTTGGATACCAATCGAGTGATTTTGAATTGATTTGGAAGATCAACTTGATGGAATTTGGCCATATGGTCAATTTTGGGCAATTGGGTTAGACTTGGGTTTAAATTTTGCTAGGGTTTAGGTTAGGCTCAATTGATGGTTCAAATTGGTCCAAGGGTTTGTAATGAAGAGTTTGGGATATCAATTGGGTAGAAATTTTGGTGTTAAGAGGTTCAATTTGGTGGAAATTGGGGATGAATTGGGAATTTTGGGCCTTTAACGACAATTTGGGGATTTTGGTCAAAAGGGGGTTAGTTTTGTCGAATTGGTATAAATGGAGTAGTTCAAATTAATTTTGGGAACATTTGGGGTGATTTTGGAGATTTTGGGAATTTTTGGAACTAAGGGCATTTTGGTAATTTTGGGGATTTTAGGGGGTATTTTGAGAATTTTAGAAAATTTGAGGTGTTTTGATCAATTTGAGTGATTTGGAATTGTTTGAAATGATTTTTGAAGAGATTTTAAGAATTTGGATAATTTTGGGAATTTTTGGAATGGGATTGATTGAGGATGTTAATCGTGAGGTCCCTTTATTTGAGCCAAGAGGCCAAGAGAAATCTCACTTTGGATCCTCCATGTGCTGGTCATAACCAAATCATAGCCAAGGGCTAATGGTTTGGGGGACCATCCACATGAGTTTCCAATAGAGTAAGGGATCAACTAAGCATATTTGGCTAGGGTGGACGTTGTGAGTACATGTGTAAGTCAATGTGTGCAAAACTGGCCAAGACCACACCACGCAAGGCTAACCCAAAGACCAAACAGTCATATGAGACTTTATAGGGAATCCCCTTGAGCTCCCTCATATTGGCTCCACCTACTAAGTGTTAGAGGTTAGAATCAATATGTGGAAGTTCAAGATGAGCAAATAAATTATTTTAAAAATAAATTTGTATTTATGATTATTATATGCATATTTATATATAAACATATGTATTTATTTGTTAATTATTGTTAATCTTTCACATACTAATAATGTAATTTGTTGCAGAAAAGAATTTATTATTTTTTTGTATAAAAAAATAAAAACTTAAGTAGGTCCAAAATTTGGCCAGGTGTTTTTCTTGCACGAGAATTGAAGAAAATGCATAAAATAAATAATATAAAAATAAGTTACACAAAACTCATCGAACACCAAGACTTTAATTAAATTTTTTTTTCCCCACAAAAAAATAAAATTATTGTGTGAAAATTAATTTTTCTATTATTCATCATTGAATTAATCACTTTTAGCCATCAAGTCATTCCCAAATAGAAGAACCTCTAAAATCGAAAGCGGTCCTCCTAGGACGGTCTGCGACTGAACCACCGGTGATCTGCATAACGGACAACAGAACCGGCCAAGGTCCAACCACCGGTCAATGCAAGCTACGTGGAATTCATGGCAGCAATTTCCAAGCTCCCGAACGTGATCCCTAGGCTCTATTAACTGAAGGCAAATGGAACAATCCGGCACCGACCCAGACATCGTAGATTTTCTTTTTCTCCTAAGGAAGCTCTGGCACTCGATAACAGGCAGCTTCTCCTTGACAGACTGGGCAGTAGATGTAGCTGTCGGCATGGAAATGCCGACGGACATGAATAAAAGCTCATTGTTCTCCCATGGCGTCGGCTCTCTTTCAAAGGATGGGTTGAGACCGATACGATGGAGGAGGAAGGAGATTGTATATTGGATGAGGTCGATGAAATAGAGGAAGGAGATGACTGACCTCGGGATCATTCTTAGATTAAGAAGAAAAGCTTGTTCGCCAGTTATTAATGGCTATGAAACCTTATATAGAAGGGAAAGAAAACAGAGGAAAGTTTCCAGAAACCAACTACTTACTTTCTCTGCTGCTTCCGCTAAAAGAAAAAGAATTAACAGGAATAATGAGAAAATTTAGTCAAAATATGATGAATGCATTTTAAACTGTAAGATAATTTTATTAATGACATATCGTATATTATTTATATAAGCGGCTGAAGGAGTGGCCAAAAACTTTCTCCGTTGCTTCGATTGTGAGATATTTTTATGAATGACATCGAATATTTGTGCTCTTCGTTCGTTAAAATAAGTCGGATTCTTTTTTATGCGTCATTGACCATGTTCTTACTATTGTTACTAATTTATAATATCAGAATAATCAGGATCATTAAAATTTAAAATCAAATTCCGCTCATATCAATTTTTCAATTTCTAGTTCAATATTTTATTATAAATAAATAAATAATAATAATAATAATAATAATAATAATAATAATAATAATAATAATAATAATAATAATAATAATAAATAACTAAATATAATATAACATTGATACGTGCTAGAAAATTCGCGGCGGTAGAGTAATGAATTATCGTCTTAGCGTTGCGCAAGAATTCAACATACACTCAGATGAAAATGATTCAAGCTGTGATAACACCAGAAGTTTTTACGTGGAAAACCCGTAAAGGGGAAAAACAACGGGGTCTGACCCAGTTGTAAAAATCTACTATAAATTGATGATTACAGATGCCCCTTGTCCGACAGCCTTGTCCCACAGACGGGAAAGTGTTACTAGCTTTCCAAGTTACAACGTCGACTGATGATGTTTAGTCAGCGGTGGTTGACGGAGGATGACGGTGATCGACCAAGGTCCGCGGTGGTCGCAGATCGTCGGTGATCGACAGATGTCAGCGGTGATCGACGGTGGTCGACAGTGGATGACGGTGGTCGACGGTGGTCGAGATGATGTTGGACTTTAGCTCTTTCTCAAAGCCTCAAGTTCTCTCTCAAGTCCCCCCTCTCATGTGAAGGATGAAGCTCAATTTATAGTATTTTGGGTGCAATTAATGCAGGAATATGAACCATTTTGATCGAACAGTCCGGAGAGCTTCCCTTGATCAGATGATGTTTGATGGACATTGAGTGCCTTAACGATGTCGGAATTGAGCAATCTTGGGCTCATTGGATTCGTCTTGTCGAGATGCTCGATTAGACTATGAACTCGCTAGATTTGACATCCGTTTGACCTTTTAAATGCCTCCGGAAATCCTCCAATGGTGGTTTAATGATTTGATCTGGGCTTGATTTTAATTGGATTGGACAGACATTCATATCATTAGGTCCGTCTCATTGAGCCAATCAGTTTGACTATAAGTTTGTTGAAATCGAAGCTCTAGATGACTCTCAATCGAAGTTTATATGTTTTTTGTTCAAAAAATTACGTTGAGATTTGTGTTGGATGATGAAAATTTGTTGGTAGCGTATCAATTGTCACCCTATTTTCGGGCGAAACCATTTTTTTAGTCCGAAAATATTAAGATACATAAACTTTTCATAGAGGGCGTAAAAAATTTAGATATATATACCTTATTGCTACTAGTAATTAAATAAGAAAAATGTTTATCTATAATATATAAGTTTGTTGAGCCTAGCTTAGTTGGTAAGTGGTATTTTGTCATTTGCAGGTGATGAGGGTTCGAATCCTAAACCCTAAACCCTAAACCCTAAAACCTAAGCCCTAAACCTAAACCCTAAACCCTAAAATGACGACAGCTGGAGAACCTCGTTCTGCTGAGAACCAGAGGAAATGCCAGAAACCAGAGGATGAAGTGTCAACTGTGACGAAGAGAGAATTTTTATTTTTTTGAAAGAAGTATTTCTTCCCGAATGATGTGATAGTGAAGTTACCAACTTCAACTGATCGAGCATATTCTCCACCTTCTGGGTATATTACTATTTATGAGGCTGCCTTGAAAGTTGGCCTACGATTACCTCCGGCACCCGAGTTTATTGAAATTATAAAGGCGTTCAGGGTTTGCTTTGTTCAGTTATCTTGTCGAGTGGTGACAGTCATTATTGGGTTGACAGTTTTCTTTTGAAGTCGTGGATTAAGGTTAACACCGGCAATTTTGGCACGACTGTGTGGGTTCTTTACTGATACACATGATCGTGTGTTATTTAAGCATAAGACGTTGGATTTCCGTCTAAAGGAACCAATGAGTCAATGATCTGTAAAATTCTTCTTTGCGAAAAATGATTGGAAGCTCCGCGAGAGGCGAGGAAGGTTTCAACAATTCCCTGTCTCTCTTAAGATTACCGAAGAAGGAATATTGCAGATGCTAGGATTTCCTGACATGAAGGAACTGTTGTTTGAGATACAGTATATTCACGAATTTGTGAAGGAGGAATTATTGTTCAATGTCAAGCTTTCTTTCTACCCCGAATGGTCAACAGCTGTAGCGCTAAAGAAATCTAAGAAGATACCTTCCTAGCTAGCCCTCGCAGAATCCTCAAAGCAGCTCCCAACGAGCAGTGAATGTGAAGTATTGCCTCAGAAACAAAAGAAGGTTGAAACATCACAGGAGTCTTTGTCAAGCCCTTCAACTATTCACGTTCTTGAAAATATCTTGTCTCATGAGTGTACTGGGCTCCTAGAAGCCTAGAGTTTTGTGAGTTTCTCTCATTTTCTGCTACTATATAATTATTTCATCTCTAACTCATAATTCTCTTTTCTTTTAGGTGGATAAGATGGTGGAAAATCAGCAGGGCTAGGACTTGCATTGAGAAACTGAAATTTCGAGTTCTTTAAGATCAAATATTTTCAAGGCGAGTACAAGCGTCGGTATGAATCTGGGGTGGAAAAAATTACATCTCTGGAATCACAGTTTATAGAGCGTAGGACAGAACTTTCAACAATGGCAACCTCCCTCTCATTGCAGCTTCAGGATCTGGAGAAAACTTGGGAGGGGTTGGTGGAAGCATGAGCCAGCTTACGTAAAAGTAATAAAAGCGTAAAAGCCCTTAAAATCCCTTAAGTCAACGGTGTTAGCCCAAGAAGAAGTGATTCAACTTTTGAGGTCCACAAAAGATGTTGATGTTTCAGAAATTAAGCGTAAAGCGGTCGAAAAAATTCATGAAATCTCTTAAGTTCAAAACTATCATTCGAGACCATGTCCAAGAAGCTCGTGATCATGTACTTGATGTTGAGGTAAAGGAGCAACATAAGTGGTTCACCGAAGAAGGATTTATCCAGGGTTTTTTGAAGGGTAGTCGAGCAGCACAACATTGAACCGGGATTGTTGTTGAGGGGCTCACTCCAAGCCAGGCTTCTGAGGACCCTTCCTCAGATTCTGAATCGAGAGTGAACTAAATAAGGTGTTCGTAAATGACAACGAAGTGGCGTAAAGGAGCAACATAAGTGGTTCACCGAAGAAGGATTTATCCTGTAGGAGAACGTTGACGTCAATTAGTGTTTTACTCTTCCTTTTAATATTTGTAGCGTATTTTATTTTATCATGTTGCTCAAACTACACAAATATTGTTTTTCTTTTCAAACTTTGTCAAAATGATGTTGTATTAGTGATGCATGTCGATCAACTTATTTTGTTAGATGTTTGCCTCCTGAAAATTTTTTTTGGTGATAAGTTTGAAACTTTTTTTAATTCATGTCACAATGGTACAAGATATCAATTAGAAGATCTAGTATGTGAGAAGGTTACCGTGGGGATAAATCATCAACAACATTTGACTTGGCTGAGGTTTTTTTATCAGAGTTTTACTTGATGATGTTAACCTGCATAAGAGGAGCCACGAAAGTCCACCAAGGACTTATTAACCCATACGAGGTTGTTTGTTGGAGCATTGCTCATTCACAAACCTGTGTGGAAGGGGTCAGGTGTAGCCCACCGACTCTTAACCTATTCAGGGTTGTTTACTGGAGTAAAAACTCAGCGATGTTAACTCATATGGAAAATGTTAGATCGAATCCACCTGGGATTGATCGTGTTCTGACTAAGATACAACTGAAGTTGTGTATTTCTTGGGTCGAGAGCATGAAGTGACTCAAGGATGAGCCATTATACTTTCTAATGATATCCCTTATGTATAGGAAAGTAAGTGAATAATATTTCAGATACATTGATTATGCATGAGTTGCGATGTAATAACATATGTGGATTGCATGATTGGGGTGTTACTGGTAATACTTGCGAAGATTTTTTGCATTCCCAGTCTGAGGTGATTGGGGTGTTACTGGTAATACTTGCGAAGATTTTCTGCATTCCAAGTCTGAGGTAAGATTTTCCCATCTAAATCCTTGAGCTTGAAGGTTCCAAGCTTGATCATGGCAGCCATGATATATGGGCCTTCCCAGATAGGTGAAAGTTTGTTGCGGTTGGGACCATGACCGGCGGCTTTAATACTACGCAAGACCAGGTCACTGACAGAGATAGGTCGAGGATTGACTCTCCGATTAAAGTGGAGAGCAACTCTTTAGTGGTAGGAAGTAGCTCTAAGATGGGCCACATCGCGTGTTTCTAAAAGGAGATCCAAATGTTGTCAGAGCTTTTCCTTGTTGCTATCTGAGTTGAAAGTCTTAACTCGTGGGTTTGGAACTCCAATATCAACCGGGGTAACAGCCTCAGTGTCGAAACATCGAAACACTACCGTTTCGGAGTACCTCGAAGAATAATCTCTGACAATGGGACAGCTTTCAAAAGTACAAAGATCAACAATATTGTCAGAAGACATGCGATAGATTCGAGATACTCTATAATTTACTATCCAAGAGCAAATGGTCTGTCTGAAGCTTTCAACAAGACACTCGTACAGATTTTGAAGAAAACACTGGATGAAAATAAATGGGATTGGCATAACAAGCTGTTAGAAGCCCTGTGGGCCTACCAGACAACTTTCAGGACTCCCACTCAGTGTACACCTTATATGCTCGTGTACGGGACCGAGGCTGTGCTACCGCTAGAGATCTAGACACCATCTCTTAGAGTCGTCGTTG